GGCAGGAGAATTGCTTGAATCCAGGATGTGGAGGCGGGTGACAGAGCAAGACTCTATCTCAAAAACAAAAACAAAAACAGAAGAGTGATTATAAGCCAATATTCATCATATACATATATGAGCTTTGAATTGTTTTCACAAGAATAGAACTTAAGAGCCTTTGGAGGCTGACTTTAAAATAAAGAATTTCAGAAGTTTCTGTTCTTTTCCACTAATTCTGGGCATAGCTCATGTTACTCTGTGCTTACTCACTCCTTAGAAAAAGTAACATCTTTCAGTAGCTTTACTCATCAACTACTTGAGACACACAACACCTATCTCTTCTGGCCTGATCATTGACTTTGCATCATGTTTTAAAAGGGGAAAAAGAAAATCAATGTGAAGAAATCCTAAAGTGACAAATTCCTTTTCAATAAACAAAGAGAAATTTTTAACATTTGAAGTAATCCCCAACGGACAAAACCCCTCTGTTTTCTAACACGGAGGGACTGGAGTTACACTAGCAAGCCTGACCTCTTTGCAGGACCAAACAGCAAAGGAGAGAGGAAGACCAGAGTTATGCAAATACTGGATAGCAGGCAAATAAAAGCAAGCCACAACACTAGGAAACAGAGAAGCAGAATTAGAAGCTGTCAGCTGAAAGTCACCAAGAAAAGACAAGCAAAGATATCATAAAAAGTGGAAGTTAAATATTGAGCCCCTGAACTCAGAGCCATCAGCTATCAACAAGTAGGTGCCCAATGATCTGAAGGAAGTCTACCAGACAACACAGAATTGTTTGCATGGGGCTTCCTGCAAGTCCAATATGTTTTGCCCTAATTTATGTTAACAGCACCACTTGGCATCCAATGACGGATCTGGGGATATCGCCCTTATATTTAAAATAATAACAACCCCCTCCAATAAACTGTCAATGGTTTCAAAACAAAGAGAAAGTTCCACAGCTAGAAACGCAAGGCCTATCACATTGACATTGAGCTTTCCTCTCTCTGTGTTTTAATTCTTTTACTTTACTGCTGAGAAATCCACTCCCCTATCTGAAAATTAAGGTCCCACCCAACCATCAAAGTTCAGTTCCATTTAACTTGTTTCTATGAATCCTTCTTTCTCCAATCACAGTTAATTTACTTCCCTCACTCTCCATCACTAACTTAGGACTTAGATTGTGCTTCTGATCAAAGCATGATGACTAAAAGCATAATTTACCATAAAACGACTTAAATGACTGTGTATATGCATCTGCCGAACGTGATTCTGTGTACTGTATCCGATCCATCTCCTTATCCTGCAGCACTGCCTCACCTATCATAGTTATCCATAAACATTTTGTCACATCCGAAAAAATTACAACATTGAAACAACAGAAAGGGACTTGCATGTATCAACTCTAATTTCCTTGAAAGCCTGAAATTCTGAGACATGTACCTTCTTTGTAACTATACTAAGCAACGTTATATAATACTTGCCTATGGGATGGCTGGAAAGAGGAAGAAATTACCAACTGGGGTGTCAGATGAGAATAAAACTAACTGAGTGTCCCAAGATTGAGACTCAGAGTATTAAACTATGATGCCAAGTTCTAAGGCTATAATCAAATTACCATATATGTCCACTTATAAGAATTATTCAATTTACACAGAATGAATGAAGAACAAATGAACTAATAGAGTGACTGCTAAGCATCACTACAAACATCACAGGTACGGAGGTCACATTAATTCTGATAGAGAAGCAAACCAAATCTCTCACCTGTTGTCCAAGATTCATCTTTCCACATGAAAATAAGAATTGTTAAACCAGAATCCTTAAGGCTAAATATTTGCCTTTTTTGAAGAAATAAAGGCTTACAGCACACATCAAAAACTCAGACAGCCAAGGAAAACTCAAGCATCACCTGGTCCTTCCAAATAAAAACATGTAACCCTCTGCACCGAATCTCAGCCTTGCCGTCTGAGAGAGAAGTAAAGCAAAGCCAAGTTCACGGGCCATCTGGGACAGCAGGAAGAAAGTCAAATTCAGTAAGCTCTGTCAGAAACCAGAGGATCCAAGATTCAGAAATTCTTGGGTCTCAGTTTCCTCATTTCTGAAAAAAAAGGGGGAAATTAATTTAGCAAGTTCTTGAAAGGACTGTAACTAGATACGTGGCACCAGAGTTAGACTAAATGATTGCTAAGGTCCCTTTCTGCTCTGAAAATCTTACAAATCTTATAATCACTCTTAGTAGACATTCTTTTGGCTCTGACCTGAAAATCTGGCTGGAAACATAAACAGTGTTCTACATAAAAACACACATTTACCAGCTATAATTTGGACTTGGCAATATGAGGTTTTACCATAGCTAAGAGGAAAATGTGCAAAATTTTCTCCAGTGATCATACCACTTTAGGCTCTGTCATGGCTCGTATCTCCAGGTGGTACACACATGACCAGTGCAGGGCCAAGCTGCTATCACATCTAAGTCACCACTACACAAGGGGAGGGCATGCCCATTTTCGTTTGAACGTATCGACAATCTTCCACATGAAGCGTCTCAAAAATAACAGGCTTCTCCCTACCAGATTTGTCCTTTTCCATTTGGCAAACTGTATTTTATTTTTTATCATTCTCCCTTCTGTTTTACAGAGAACATAAGCCAACATGGCAACAGGCATTTTGTTTATTTCCTTCCTCTTCAAAAACAAAGCCATGGCTTGAGTGCATCTAACAGAACAAGGTCCACATGAAAAAAATTCTTCATAATTTATTGAAAGCCCCATGTGTGAATTTTTTAGTGGAACCCACTGGAAAATCCTTGTTATTTTTCTTACATATTAATAGTTCTTCTAATATAACATCAAAATATTTGTATAGCCCTTTCGGTTTAACGCCTTCAAATCTGTCTGTATTTCATTTAATTGTAAGGGGGCATAAATATATATATATATATACTTGCTTTGTTTTTCCTTAAGAGGAAACTGGGATTCAGCATGCCCTGCTCAAGATCATAGTACTAGAATAAGCTGTGCAACTAGTTTTCAGTCACAAGTCTTCTGTCGCTACTTCAAACAACATTTTCAGAACTAAAGATTTAAAATGCAACAAGATAGTTTCTGAGAATTGTGCATAGTAAACAATATGCAAAAAATTAACCTCAACAAAATAAGAGCAAAGGTATATTAAAGGCAACTCTAAGGATTTATTTGACAAAGGTTGCATAAAATATCTGTTGCATAAAATAAATACAAACCTTATAGGACTCTCATTTATTAGTGGCATCTGATAGTTGATTTTACTAGTATATACCAAAATAAAATGCAAGAAATTCATGGCATGTATTTGCGATACACACATTTTTTAATAGCCTTAAAAGATCTAGACTCCAAATTGAATTGGAGATTACTGGTTACAACTGCAACTTACTAATTCCAAATGATGGATAATATCAAAAGTGCTTTCTATTTCTTAACAGCTACTCTATATGAAAATATACTCCCCAAGAAATCTCTATAGCTCATTATCTCCTTTCCTTCTTCAAGTCCTTGTTTACCTGTCACCTTGTCACTGCGGCCATATTGATGAGGCCCACCCTAGGTAAGCAAGACCCCTTCCCTAATTCCCCACTTACCCACGCTAATGTACTTTGTAATGTATATATCTTGTTTATTTCCACTAGTTCCGCTAACTTTTACATTCCCTGAGGACAGAGTGGTGTCTGCCGTTTTTGCTATAACATTCCTAGTGCTTGAATAATGCCCACATAGGAACACAGAATATTTGTTGAGTGAATGAATCATTTCTTTGTTTATCTTCCTCAACCTCATATTTAGGAGAAAGAAAGGCAGATAAAAGAACAAACCATTTAAGCAGTTTTTCCCCAAGCTTTTTCTCTTTTATACTTTTTACTATAGGATATTTTAAACTTATACAAAGGTATATGTTTAAAACACTGTATGCCTATATCAAAATCTCTCGTGTATGCCATAAATACCATATACCTACTTGTACCTACAAAAATTAAAAAGAAAAATACTGTAAAACAAATGATAAAATTAATGAGTAATAATTCAGTATATTGTATGTTCCACAAATGATAATATTAGATATTTTTTAAAAGGTAGACTGAATAACAGAATCAACCTCCATGCACCCAACGGTTATCAAATCATAACCATCCTTATTTCACCCATGTTCTCACTCAGTAGTTTCTGACTCTCACTATTTTGAAAAAAGTTACCAGACACCATTCCATTTTATCTACAAATATTTCCAATGTTTCTCTAAAAGACAAAGAAGATTCATTTTTTTCTTCAATATATCTATACTAATTTAGTCACCATCTAAAAATATAACAATAATTCTATTACTTTATTAGCTTTTCTTCTTGATATGAAAGACTTCTTCAGCTTAAAAGGTGGCAGCTTTCTGCAGTTACCTATGATCGCAGTCTAAGAACGACTTGTAATGTCACATCTGATTCCAGCCCTGAGTTACTTTGCAATGGCCACTCTCTGGACCCCAGTAGTTCTATATAATTGATACGCATAATGTGCGCCCTTCAACTTACCCAGAAGAGAAAATCCTAAGGATGTTTGATGTTGCTTTTGCTAGAAAAATATTGCTGACCAACAGAATCCACATGAAGCAACTACAGCCTTAGAATGTCAGCCTTACTCATTTGAAAGCAATGTTTGTAGACAGAGAAAATGGCAATAAAAAGACATGTCTGTATGTCCTTCAAATTACAAAGAAATGTAAACTTCTCAGATAGTATTCCTTTAAAAATGGCTTTGGGATTTGAAACAAAATTAGTAGGCAAAAGGATTTTGAGGGCTTCGGAGGGTAAGCCAGCAGAACTCTGGGAAGCTGGAGTCGGGCATGTTCCATTAAAGTGCCTTAGATCTTCGGAAGCTGGAAAGCTCTCAACAGGCTCTGTATATTTATTTATCCAGTATAGAAACAATTATGAAATTAATGAGCTTCCTAGGATGGCTTATAAGCATGACTGTAACTGCAGCTCTTACCTGTACCTTGAAAGCCTCTTCATCAAGAGGCGGTGGAGGAGGAAAGTTTCCAGAGATAGATGGAAGGGCACTGGAATCATCTAGAGGTGGAGGTGGGGGTGGAAGAAAATCACCTAAGAAAAAGAAGTACACACGGGAAGTTAATAAGGATGCAATGTTATAGTACTCTTAAGATATATTTGCTGGCATTTTGTTTCTTTATAATTGGCTTTGACACATAATTTTTTGTGTGTTATATAGCAATTATTTCCCATCTTAGTTTAATTAGTAGCCTTAATTAGTAGTCTTGACTTTCAGAAGAAAGAGAACCAGATTTGATAGTTAAAAATGGTATAAAAGCTAGTCTAGAGGAGTCAACATATTAAGCAAAGCAAAGAATGAGCTTGGGTGGGGGACAGGGTTACTGAACTGTATACACTTTGGTGCTTACACTCAATACATTATCAATAAAATTGAGGAGGAAAAAACATATACACAACTAAAGATAATACAAGATGCTATTTATGAAGATGCATGAATAACCCTCTGGAAATTAAGATAAAGTGGAAGGGTGTGGAAGGCCATGGAAGTCTTAGTGGATCATATAATTTTCCAGAAACATGATGTAGAGACCACATCCATCCTTGGCAGAAAGACAGAATATAGGCATGGAGATCAGAAAGTTCCACCATAGATAATAAAAAGCAAGTCATGACATGGCAAAAACATGAGACCCAGGAATGTAAAATAATTCCAGTGGGTTATAAAAATTAGATATGTGATAAAATTAAGCTTTTTACGTGTGCTGCCCATCTAAAAACTAAAAAAGGGTTTGAATTTTATCATGCATGCAGCAGGGATCCACCAAGGATTTCTGAGAACACTTGGTTACAGTATGATTTACTAAAGACTAATTTAAAAGTCTGTGCAGGACAGGTTAGGAGAAATGAATAAGAAACATCCAATTCAGAAATCTATACATAATCCAGACAAGAAGTAATGAGACTTTGGGATACTGAGAAATACCCTGAGAAAAAAACAAGGGTAGCACACTGCTGTTAGAGTTTGTTGAGGGAGTGAATCTAATCTCTGTGATCTAAGTTACACACATATATCCAAGAGCTTATGGTTCCTGGTATGAAACCTTTTTAAATAGTCTGCAAAAAATCGTATTGGGGAAACAGAAACTTCTACCTTTTAACCTTTTCTCTATTTGTTCTTTTCCTATTAAAAATAATGTTTTTGATGTGTTGGAGAAGTGATCTTTTCTACTCACGGATGAGTAGCTTTTCCTTGCATTTCAGTTGCTCAACACTTAGTGGGGTAGAGCAGCAGTCTCCATCATTAAATGACTTGCTTTTGGATATTATCAAAACATCACAGTTCAGGCCTTCAGAAACAGAAGTCTAAGAGTGGAAGGGGGGCACAGTAGAATGATTATGTGTAGGTTTCGTTGTTCTGATACACCTTTAAAATGGTTCACTTGGCCTCTATTTGCCTTATAAATAACAGTCTTAGAATTGAAAGTGTAGCTAAGCCAAGAACTGTCAAGTCTAGCCCTAAGCCAAATTCAGACTACTAAGCAATCAAAAGCACTATCTCTAGAGTACTCCGCTTACCAGACTCTCGCTATGCCAGGCAGTATGCTAAGATTTTCATACGCTGCCACTGAATCGTACAATAATCCTCATTGCTGATGGTTCTCAAACTTTAGAGTTCATCAGTATCTCTGGAATGTCTTATTAAAATACAGATTTCCAGGTCCCAGATCCAGAGATTCTAATTCAGTATGTCTGGGGAGAAGTCCAATAATTTGCATTTCTAATAAGATCGTGGGTGATTGATGCCTTTGGGGCTGAGAGCACACTTTAATAACCACTGCATGTTATGAAAGGTTCAATAACTTACATCATAAAGAATTTCCTATTTTTCTTTTTCTCTGGGTGCACAAATCTGGGGAAGTAATTTGTCCATATCTTTGTGGATTATAAATCTCATAAACCTGTATTCATTCTATTCAGTAGTATTAAAAATTGGTTAAATATCAGAATCACCAAGGAAACACATTTAAAAATGTTGATGTCCAAATTCCACCTCACAGCGTTCAATCAGAATCTTGGGGATAGGAGACAGGGAGTGAGGAGGTCAGGCACCAGTACTCCTATAAAACCTAGGTGATTCTAATGTGCAGCCAGGATTGAGAAACTTTCATTTGGCCACAGACTGAATGAAAAAATATGTAATGCCCGTTAATTAAAAATAACTGTCAAGAATTTTTTACTGCCTTTAAAGGTCATAATGTATGAAAAGAATGCTCACAATGAGATCTTAGATGATGACACAACAAAGGTTTAGGTTGCTGATTACCAACTCAAATTCACAGCCTAATTTCCAGTTCCAAATGTTCTAACTAAACCTATGCTGCACGAGTCTGTTCTCTCACTGCTACAAAGAACTGCCTGATTATGGGTAATTCATAAAGAAAAGAGGTTTAGTTGACTCACGGTTCTGCCACCTTGACAGGAAGCATAGCTAGAAGGCCTCAGGAAACTTACAATCACAGTGGAAGGTAAAAGGGAAGCAAGCACTTCTTACATAGCAGCAGGAGAGAGAGAGCATGAAGGGGGAACTGCCATACACTTTTAAATCACCAGATCTTGTGAGAACCCACTATCACAAGAACAGCATGGGGGAACCTCCCCCGTGATCCAATCACCTCCCACCAAATCCCTCGCTTGACATGTGGGGATAACAATTTGAGATGAAGTTGGGTGGGGACACAGAGCTAAATCATATTTCTATGTCTTCTTCATACTCACATTATGAAAGGATTCCTGGACCCCCTTTTATACTTCATCAGATTCGGTTACATCATGGGAATATTTCAGGGCATCAGAGAGTATCAGACTGAGCAAAATCTCGGACATCATATTATCAAACAGAGGCCCCTGGTGATTGATGTGACTGGGTCTGGGACCACACTTTGAGAACCACAATGTGTTACTCCTGCTTTGGACCCACAAGATTAGAAAGGTTCAATAAACTATGTCATAAAGAAGCTACATGAACAGTCTAAAATGTCCCAACACATTAGTCTAAAAAAGTACAACTGTCTGTCCCTTCCAAATATATCCTTCTTTACTCTGTTTCTCTAATAGAACTTAGACATAGTGGGGCACAGGCTGACGAGTATCCTGGGAGGGTCAAAAGAAACCAAAAAGAAAGGTAGAATGCTTTTGCTTTTTAAGAAACAACTTGAAAAGATGGACTCTATATTGAAAGCATGAAAAGGCAGATGATTAAAAGCCCTCGTGATAAGCACATAATTATCTGCTTTATTTAGATCAATTATTAAGTCAGACCAAAGTTTTCATTTCTTTAAACTCAACCATCAAAGGGTCCTTACTGCATTCCTTAGAGAGGACCTCACATTTTCAGAAGACATAGAGAAATGGGCAAACGTCTCAAAAACAGATGCAAATATGATAAAAGGAGAAGAAATGGGTCCTTTGGAGAGAGGCATAAACTAACCGATATAGTTTCCATGAAAAACTCCTAATCACTCTCCTAAATCAGATTAAAAGTTTAAGAGAATTCTGACTTAGAGCTCATCATTTTAGTAGACAAGTAAACAAGGGAAAATGCCTCTAAGTTGTTGTGAAAATAAGTTCAGCTTTAGAGAGAAGGCAGAATTCTCATGTTAAAGAAAAATGGGAAAACAGAAAGAACTATATTTATACGAGTGGAAGAAGGGGGAAGGAGATCTTTTCCATCCTAAGAGATTTCTGAAAACAATGAAACAATGAAAGAGCATGGGGTTTTGATTCCTAGGTGGTGACCCTATGTGGAAAAGCCCCTGGATCCAATGAGCTGCAGTACCTTCCAGCCAGCAGAGCTAAGCTGTAGAGCTTCATGTTAGTGCATGCCCTGTCCTCTTTGCCTTTCCTCCCAGATTCTGTGACCTACAGAAAAATTGCAACTCACCTCCCAGACTCTGAGATGTATAGGCAAGCTTTAGAAGAAAAAAAAAAAATATCCAGCAACTCGCAGTAACATATCAAATCTAAAACGGAAACGTTCAGTTTTAGAAATGGTAGAGTGGTTATAGACATGTGCTTTCAGACCTGGTCCCTCCATTCTCTTCCACTCATCATCCAAATCCTACCTATATACAAAATATATTTATGCCTCAATTTCATATAAAACCGTTTATTCAAAGTTATGTAGCTGGTCAAATATAGAGCAGGAAATGGATTCTCACTCTCTTGGAGAGACACTGAGAAGTTATCTTGCTTGATTTGCTCCATATGAAACCAAATCACTCAGCTAATACTCAGAAGGTTTTTGCTGTGTGCCAGAGGTAGCACCAAGAAGCAGCAGTTAAACAAGGAGTTGGACAAATCAAGTATTCCATCTCTGATTCCCAAACACTACTTTCTGCCAATTTACTTCAGAAAACAGCCTGTTAGGCATATCGTTAACTCGAAAAGGGAGTGAGGAAAAACTCCAGAGGACCTAGCTATGCATATTTTCTCAAGCTCTCCCTTTTATTTACTCTGCAGCACTGAGAAGCAGGGATGGTTACCTGGGACCAGCTGAGCCACCCCCACTGCGGTGACCCCAGCACTTGCGACAGTCAGATAGGAAAGGCATCCACCTAATGCTGAGTTTGCTTATCCCTTCATGAAACAAAGGCCCCCATCAGAGGGTGAAGACAGCAAAAATTTACCTGCAAAGTAAGTAAATTACTAGTTGAAGGTAGAAAAACACATGGGAACAATTCAATTCTGATCATCAAGAAAGTTTGGATTCATTTACTATTGTAGAGAAAGAAAACAAAGAAAGCATCACTCTCTTTTTCATCTAAATACCCATATAAAACCCACACACACATCCAGAGATTTAGATAGCAGCCCTTTTTGCAACTTATATATAGTTCTATCATAACATCCGTAATACTTGATTGTATTTGTGTGTTATGATCACTCCCTCCTGGTTAGAACTGAAGCTTCTTACAAGTAGAGTCCACTCATGATTTCTCTTTATATACCCATCCCTAGTCACCAGTTTGGGCCAGAACATCCTCAGTAACTGTAGGTTGAATGACTGAAAAAGAGGAAGCCATTCAATTCCTAAATTGATGTTTTAAAAAATGATCTGGTGTCGACCAGGTGCAGTGGCTCACACCTGTAATCCCACCACTTTGGGAGGCCAAAGAGATCAAATCACAAGGTCAGAAGTTCAAGACCAGCCTGGCCAATATGATGGAACCCTTTGGCTATAAAAAATACAAAAATTAGTCAGGTGTGGTGGAGCACGCCTGCAATCCCAACTACTGAGGAGGCAGAGGCAAGAGAATCTCTTGAACCTAGGTAGTGGAGGTTGCAGTGAGATGAGATTGCACCACTGAACTCCAACCTGGGCAACAGAGCAAAACTCTGTCTCCAAAAAAAAAAAAAAAAACCTGGTAACTTTGACCAGTACTTCTCAAATGTCAATGTTCCAATCATCAGGGAATCTAGATAAAATGCAAATTCTGATTCAGGCCCACACTGGGGCCTGAGATTCTGCATTTCCAACATGCTCTCAGGTGCTGCTGACACAGACTCATGGGCTGCACTGGCAATGACAGGGCTCTAGCTTCCCCTAGCTGGAAGTTATTGCTTCTTCCACTTTGTTGAGGGGAGAATTTTTGGTTGTTGGAGGAAAATCTAAATATTAAGGCAATTTTAAAACTATGTAGATACTCCTCAAATTAATCACATTTTAAATTATGAAGTCAAAAGAGATTGGGTTGGAATACACACACACACACAAGGTGAACAATTTTTAATCAAGGTGAGCAGAGTCTAAGTCTCAAGTAAAGACAGTTATTCATTTCCACTAATAGTAACTGGTGATTGGGCATGTGGCTCATGCCTGTAACCCCAGTACTTTGGGAGCCCCAGGTGGGCAGATCATGAGGTCAGGAGTTCAAGACCAGCCTGGCCTATAGGGTGAAACCCCATCTCTAATAAAAATACAAAAATTAGTTGGGCGTGTTGGTGCGTGACTGTAATCCCAGCTAGTCAGGAGGCTAAGGCAGAAGAATTGCTTGAACCACAAGGCAGAGGTCCCAGTGAGCAGAGATGGAGCCACTGGATTCCAGCCTGAGTATCTCAAAAAAAAAAAAAAAGTTTGAAGGGAAAATAGTATAAAATCTTAAGCCCAAAAACTTAAAACACAAACCTCAGCTCTACCCTTTACTTCAGGCAAGGCAATTCTATAATCACAGACTCAGTTTTCCTCACCTATGAAATGAGATAGTCATACCTACTTCAAGCTGTGAATCAAAGCAGCTAGAACAGTAACTCTGAAACTTTTTTGGCCACAACCTAGAGTAAAAAATATATTTTATATAATGAGGTAATACTGCTATCTAGATATGTATATGTACATGTATATTAGAACAAAAGAGTTTCATGAAACCATACCTAATATATATATATATATATAAAACACACATTGAAATGTTCTATTTATGTAAAAAAATATATTGGTTGTGACCCACAAAATTGACGGTGACCCAGAAATAGATCTCAATTCATGTTTTGAACATCACTGAGCTAAATTATATGCAAGTGACTTGTACAATGTCTACATTATACATGACAATTATTTCTTTTCCCTTATGCACAAGAGGGCAACTCAATCTAAACTTCATCACTCGGAAGAGGAGACCAAGTTCCCTGAACAAGTTTCCTTAAAGAGAAAAATGAGAGAGTAAAACAAATGTAGCATCAGTGATGATATCCACAAGGCAATGGAATTATCCCACAGCTATAATGTACACCTCAGAGACTACAGGCAATTTATTATGAAACTAAATAACTGAAGACTTCACTTACAATTTCAACTTCAACTCCATGTTCAATTTGCATCAAAATATGTGTGCTACCAATAAAATTGCACCAGAAAACACCTTGAGTGAAATATTTTTAAATGAAGCATTCAAAGCTTAGGATAATATATATAATGTTATCATTTGTTTAATAACATATACACATATATACATGTATTATCATAGATTGTCTTTGAAGTGGTGTCCCAAAATATTGATAATGGCAAGTTGCCTCTATGAAGCTAAATTTTGCAACCGAGGAAAGAAAGTGGAAGGGAAGTACTCTCCATTATACAAATTCTTAACCTGTAATTATTTTACCCATTTATAATTTTAAAATAACACATATACACAAAACAGAAATTTTCAGTTCCTGAAAATGTGTCGTCTCCAAATGTTCAGTTGAGTAATGTTTTAAAAACCAACAGGAAATGCATTATGGCAAAGACCAGAGAAAAACTGAGGATACATCCCATTTAATGCATCACTTCTCAGCCTTCTCAACCTATTTACAGTGCACTGGTTGGAACTAACAATATGAAAGTAATTGCACTGATTTGCTCAACATGCTATTTCTATTAGAGGTGAAACCTTTCAGGCTCTTTTCCTGTCCCACTCTGCTCTTCTCTCTGATAAGGTAGGGTTATTAATTTGACTAACGTGGCTACTACCATAAAAGTCTCAGTTTTAGAAAGCAATACCCAGGAAATATCCTTCTTAAATCTCCTTCCTGCTTCAGTCCTCTGAGCATCTGGCTCCCAGGACAGACCACCTGAAATGCTGTCTAGAGCATTCTTCTTGACTGTGAAGCAAAGGATCAGAATGTCAAGCCAGGTCTTCAGGAGCTACAGCTAATTGAGTATGTTGAATTCCAAGATACAGTGGTGTGAGGAAGACATGGGATAAAAATCCTACTAATTCCTAGAGCCAAAGCCTCCACACAACTCAGTGGGATCACAGACCTCTGTCTCAGAGGGAGAGCAAGCACTTACGGAGCTATTAATAAAGCAGCACCTGGATTCTCATTTTGCTCCCGTTTCTGCAGTGTGAAACTCCTTTGAGAACTCTCTGGGAGAAGTGATAATTATCAGGGCAAGATTTGGCCATTCCATGTTCTCTGTCCTCATTGTCATCAAAATAGCACAATATATTTCCCTTGAATGACATCTCTTCCTCTGTAAATAAGAAGATATGTGACCTTGACTTTGACTTTAATTTTGTCTAGTTATCATGCTAGATATCCTTAAACTTCAGGATAACTTTAATATTTTTAGTTGTCATGCTAGATAGCCTTCAACGTCACGTTCTTATTATACATTAGAAAAATTAACTTTTCTATTTTTCTTCCATTTTTATTTTCTGCTATTTACCTAGAAAGCAAATGATTAATTCTGATAATACTTAATTTTCTAACAAATTAATTTAAAAAGAAGGACTTGGATTAAAAATATTGATCAAACACAGAATTGCTGAGGGTATAGGGAAACCAGCATTCTCTCATATGCTACTGCTGCTAAACTTTTCTCGAGAAAATTTGTCAAGAGGAATCGAAAGCCTTAAAGATACTTATAAACTTTCATTCAGCAATATCAGTTTTAATAAATTATCCTACCAAAGAAGTAACTTAACGAGCAGAGAAGCATTTTAAGAAACCTTCATCACGAAGCAATTTAATAAAAAAACTCATTATATATTTTTCAACCAGTTCATTAACATAGAACTGGTCAAAAAATAAATTTCAATCGTACAATGGGAAATTGTGTGGTCGCCAAAATGATGACGTTGATCTACATCTAACATCTATTTATTCATCGAGCGCCATCTGTATATCATACATTACTCTAGACCCTAGACAAAATAAAACAAACAAATAGAATAAACACAGTGTGCTCCTCTACCCACCTGCATAGAACTTACACTCTAACAGGAGAAGAATGCTTAAAAAGTAAAGAAAACATACTGAATATCAAATGGTGATAAGGAGTATAAAGAAATGGAGGGCAAGGTAGAGGGCTGGGACGGCCAGGGTGGTAGTGGGTGTTGCAATTTTAAAGAAAAAAATCACTGAAAATGGTCTCAGCACGGTGATACTCGGACAAAGATTCACATTTAGTAAGGGAGTAAGTATTAGCGTATCTGGGAGAAGAACATAAAAAAATTGCTTCTCATATTTTATCACGTAAGAAACAAAGGCGGCTACTGAATAGTGCTTATAATATGGTCCCAATTTTATATAGGCCTGTATGTTAACAGAGGTTGTCTATAGCTCATGAGATGACAAGCACTGTTTTTAATTTTTTCTCCTTTGGCTTAATTATTATACAATAAGTGAATTATAGGCACACATTTTTTTAAAAACCAAAAATAAGATACTTTAAAATGAATCGCAGAATCTACTCAAACCCAGAGTTTAATTTTAATGCATCATTATATGTACTCAAGCCAAAATTTAATGTCCCTGTCATCTTTCTAAATAACTTAGCTTGAAATGCTCTTTGAGATTCTCAAATTAAAAGCAAGAAGAATTATCTTTAAAGTAGATGACGTCTCCCTGATTTTAAATTGGACAGTTTCGCTCCATATTTAGCTAATATAGAATATATCTGAGACTTTGAGTCCTTTTTTACAGTCACAAATAAGGGCCCTGTTCAAATGTGAGACCCCTCAGTGTATAACATGAGATACAAGCGTTCTGTAATTCTCTATCACGCAGTGGTTTCCCTTTGTTAGATAACAGGTTCAATTTATCAGTAGAAAACATTAAATGGATTACAAATACTATGAAATCAGGATGACAGTCTAGTTCTGCAAGTTGTCTACAACCGACTAGCACTTTTGAATCCACCAAGTGTCATATGTTACAAAAACAGAGTAATTGCTACCCAAACAACAAACCACACCATATATTTTTGACTTCCAAAGATGAGCATTCAAAATAAATAGGGCAATGAGTTGAGCTTAATGTATCAATCTTCTATCAGCTACTGAGATATCTTTAGCTCCAATGAGAAAAAGCAAAATTACCTCAGTTTAAAAATGAAATAAAAATCTAAAAATTCATGTGATGGACAGAAAATGAGGCAACATCCCAGAAAAACAACAGCAAAATGTCTTCATTTACCACTAAAAAACAAAGAAGCGGGCAAACAAATATCAGTGTGCTGACAGAATATTCCAAAAATATCCCTTTCCCTTAGGGTTGGGCCATTACCCTGTGGTGACCATTGAGGCCAGAAGCTTACCACCCCTCCAAAGACAGTCATGGTGCCTCAGAAAGCCTCGTTTCACAATAAAAACACTTTAAATAGGTCATTTCATTTATTTCGCCACTGCTGCCTTTGGCTGTAGAGGGAACCATCCTCATCTTCAGTGAGAACGCACTGTTCCTTCCTGCGGTAGCTCTGTTACAACCAATGTTCTGCTCTTTCTTAGCTTAATTCAATAACTATTGGTTTCCCCTACCAGACTAACAGCTCCTTGAGGGCAGACTCTCTGTTTTACAAGCCTCTACATAAAGCATATAGAACACATATGAGATATTCGGTAAATAGTAATATTATTGCTATAAATTATTAGTGGTACAGAACTACATATATTAAATTGAATATAACTCTGATAGAATGAACACATGAACTTTTCCCATGGTCAACTCTGCCACTTTTCAAATACTGACATAAGGTCAACACTGTACTACTGCACCGGTAGGTCGTAGGTCCTCCATGATACCAACAGCTAGACAGTTTGTAACCTGCCTTAAAGCCATTAACCTAACCATTAGTTAGGTTATTTGTTTGTTTCCACATTATCTTACTGAGGGTATGTCTTCAAAGTACAGGAAGTGAGTCCTCATCCTTAAGTCACCACCTGGTTATGAGGGCACCCTAACCTCCAGAACTGCTGCAACCATCTGTACTGTATTGATCTTCTACTCTACAATAAAAGATCTATTGATAAGTCTTAACAATATATATGTATCCCATATAGTATATAAAGACTTTTAAGTCTTCTTTTTAATTCAATAAAAGAGAGACGGGGATAAAGAAAGAGCAGAGAAATGAGGGAACAGGAAAAATACATGTCGTAGACAGAATTTCAAAATGCTTATGCTTGAGGTGTTAAAACACATTTGACTTTTAACCAGGGGCGTGTACTGGAATCTCCTGCGGCACTTTCTTCCACCACATACACCCAGACTTCACTCTGGAATTCTTAATTCAGAATCTTTGGGGCTTGGACCCAAACAAGAACCTTGCAAAGCTTCTTCAGTGATTCTGGTATATGGTGCTGGTTAAGGATCACTGACCTCCTGGAAAAACAAAGACTGAACAACCCTCTGAAATTAAAGATGAGTGAGGTGACAAGACAATAAAATGCAACATGTGCTTCTGGATAGAATTCTAGACCAGAAAAGAGACATCACTAGGACAATCAATGAAATCTAAACAAGGTTTATGTATCTGCAGGAAGTACTATGTCAGTGTTTACCTTGTTTTGGTAACTACCGTGGTTGTGTAGGATGTCAACTACTTGGGGAAACTGGATGGTCACTAAATGAGAATCCTTTATACAATCTTCAATCTTTCTGCAGGGGTCTCAAATTATTTCAGAATGAAAAGTCAAAATGTATTCCTCCTATTTTAAGGAAAAAGTAAGTCACTGAACTAGTCCAGTAACTTTTTTTCACAGATGGATAAATATTCCACCAGTGTAGTACAGAGAAACAGTCAAAGAGTGTAGGACCACATCAAGCAACCCACTGTGACCCCAAATAGCCTAACTTCTAGCTAAGCACACATTTACCATAGCACATGGCAGAGTTAACGTGAGAAACTGAGACTTCTTGGGAATGATGAAAAAACCCACTGTACCCCTACAAATTCAACAGACTATGAAAAAGAGAATAGGTTCTTACTATGTAGGAGACTTGGACTAGATGAGCAGGCACATGTAAAATATCTCCAACAAAATCCAGGCTGAATGCAGCATGGCTAGGCTGGTAATCCTACCTTGATGATCAGCAGCAATGAAACCCCATCAAACCTCCTTTTCCCCAATGTTGGGGCCCATTCTCTTGCT